AGGCCAGCCTGGGCTACATAGTGAGACCCTATTTCAAAAGACAAAAACAAAAACAACCAACAAAACAAACAAAACTACAATATCTCACATTTTGGAAGGACTTCAGTAATAATCACGAGTCTATCTGCCATCAGCTTCAGTTGTTTCTATATGACTCACACAATTTTGCCACTTAATATTTTCACTTAAAATAATTCAATTTTTAAAATGTAGCTGTATTTGTTTTTAAAAGAAACCTTGTGTTATGTCACAAGAGGGAAAAAAACCCAGTATCTCTTGACAGAGAATGACATTGGAATAAATGCATAGGAATCCAATAGAAAGTTTGTCAAAGTATCATCTAAAGGCCTCTCCCCTTGGCTGGGCACGGTGGTGCATACCTATAATCCTGGCACTCGGAAGGCTGAGGCAGGAGGATTGCTGGGAGTTTGACAGGGTCTCTATAGCCAGACCCTGACTGAAAAAACCCAAAACAAACAAAGAAACAAACAAAACCTCTCCTCTACAACAACCTGGTGAGGTGGCTACTGTCATCATACAGCTCTCCCTGATAGGGAAACCAAGGCTCAGGATTTAAAGGTCTTCCCGAGGTCAACCTGGAAGTCAAAGAATTATGTCTCGGAAACCAAGTTTGCCTTGTGTCAAAAAAAAGCTGTCTTTGATCAAGGGCCTGCGGGCTCCTTCCTGCGGTAATCCCTACCTGAGTGCCCTGGGGTTCAAACTGAGGACTTCCTCTCGGAAGGGGACACAGGATGCAGTGGGAGGGGGCCGGGGAGAGCCTAGGAGGCAGAACCTGCAGAGAGAGGAGTTGGGAGGGGCTGGGCTGGGATTAAGCCTCTCACCGCAGTCACCCTAATAACTGACGCCCCTGTAAGATTTCTGAGCCTTCATTATAAAGCTGCAGCGTTCCTGTAAAATTAAGAGTGCTGGTGCTCAGCTAGTGGCTAGAAAACCGGCAGCCAGGATCTGCTCCAAAAATCCCTGCATGTTTTCCTAGAAAGACAGCGCTGTTCAGAGCCCAGGGGACTGGTTCTGAGAGGAGGAAGGCTTGTCCTCGCTGTCACTTCCTGCTGCAAACAGCGGGCATCCCGGATGAGCCCCTGCGCCGTGCCAAGTCCCAGGTTCTGTCCCCTGCTAGAGTGAGGGGGATGCTGCTGCTTCAGCCCTGGCCATCTCTGAGCCAGGCCCCTCGGATGCTGACCCGAACTACAGGAGGAGTCCCCTTGGGAGAGGCCACAGATAACGTGTCATTCACCAACCACAAGGTGGCCTTGGGCTGCGCTCAAGGAGGCGGCTCAAGGAGGCGGATGCGACCCGTGTCTCCAACCTGAGCCCTGCCCAGCGCATTCCAAATGGAAGTCACTGGCTTGCAAGGTGCGTGTGTGGGTGTGCACGTGCCCTGTCCACACCTGCACTGCAGCTCATCATGTGGTGTGTGTGGGTGGGAGGCCATTTCCCAGCTGGTTATAAAGTTATAAAGAGTATTTACAATTTTCTGTATTCCAAATGGTACAGCGCTTTGCTTTTTACACGTGCAGCTTTATACACACGCCTATTTGCTCGTGATGTTCCTCCAAACGGTTGGATCGAATTCGATGTGCATTTCTGAAGTTCACAGAATCATTTCTGGACGTTTTTGTTTTATGGCGCTGGGTACTGAACTCGGGGCTCCTGCACGCTAGGCAAACGTTGAGCTACCACTGAGCGATGTCGTCAGCTCCCTGCTGGGGTCATTTCTGATGTGTTGTGGAAGCACAACGTCACATTTTCCCTCTTCATGTTCAGCATTTGCCGCCTCCCCTATAACCCACACATTTCTTGAGAGTAGACGCCCACTTTCTCTAACCTATATTTAAATCAATTCGGATTGCAACAAACAGTAATTAAACCAACTGCCAGGTGCAAGGGCTGAAGTTGGAAGGGGCTGGTTCCTCTTGGAACAGCGGGGAGGCGATGTCCCCATCCGCAAGGGTGCAGCACCAACGCTCTGCACCATGGGAGCTCAGGGTGCTCACACACAGGAGCTGCGAATTCTTCCCGGGACACGAGGAAGGAAGAGAAAACACGAGTGAGGTGGGAAGCATGAGGGAAGGGCAACTGTCGAGCTGCTCCTTGGACCCTGACAGACATTCACCAGACAGCAGTGACAGTGAGAGCTGCAGATTTCCATGCTACTACGCCAGGACCCCAGCTCTGCAGCGCCCGCATGTGGGGCCAGGTGCTCTTTGCTGGAGGTGGGGTTGGTTCCTGCTTCCAGCCCTACCAGGGAATTCTTATCGTGCTATCTTTGCTCTCTGTCCTGAAAATGATCTTTCTTGGGTCTCAAAACCGGATTGGACCCTCATTTTTAGATCAGGGGTAATTTCCCCAAACCCCAGAGTTACTGGTCCCCAATATAAGACCTGGCTCCTACAAAGAAGCTTACTAAGTAGAGATGAAATGTTCACTTCCACGGGGAAGTGCAGAAACCTTAAGCTGCTATTTATTTAGAGTGCTGCGATCTACAAAGTATTTTCCACTTTGACTTCACTGGATGCTCAGCGTGGAGTGCAGTGTCACCAACACAGATTGTCCCCACCCCAAGGGCAGACTGTGGCTCAAGGACATTGAGGCCCCGGCCCCTGGGGGGCTGTGTGCGGGAGGGGAGTCATAGCCACGGCTTCACCCCAACAGCCCACGATGCCCATCCAGGTCGGGCCAGAAGAGCCAGGTGCCTCCGGGCCAGATGGGTGAGGTCCAGAAAGACAGGCAAAGATAAGGACTTGACAGTGCTCGCTGCCTCTGAAACCACTGAAACCCACATGGAAACTTGCCGTGGAAGAAAAGACACATTAACCCTAAAAACTATCCCATCTTTCCCTCGCGCAGCCTTGAGAACATTACTGGGGAATAAGAGGCAGATACGTCCCAGTTCACATTTATACTCACACAGTTTTAAAGCATGTGAAGATCTTTTTTTTTTCAGATAGCAACAAAATTTTATTTATAAAGTTGTTCAAACACAAGAAAATTCTGGTTCCTTTTCTATGAACTATCAAAAGTTAGGGACAGAATGCTCTTTCATCTCAAAAAAACGAGGTTTTGGATGACAGCTTTTCAACATAAAGACAAAATCAAGCTGAAATACGTGAAACACTTTTCTAGTCCATATATACTTGGATAATCTTGTAGTAAGTTTCTTCAGCAACTGACAGTGTTGAAAGAAAATGTCTTGGGGTAGTGTTCTAAGAAGTCACTAGCAGCAGTGGTAACAGCATTAGTAGTACTTCCAGAATCTGTAAAATCCCAAAGCGATTGTCAAGCACTGAGGCTGCAAGATAACGAATTGTCTTAAGTTTGTTAGACTCCATCAGTGTTTTTAAGGAAGCAATTTCAGTGTCAATTTTATTACTGGTCTCTGAAATAACACTTTCTGTTTGGGTATCCTTTCTGGTAAATTCTGTGGTTGCTTCCATAAGTTGCTTTTCTTGATCTGTAAACATATCTGTTACTCTGCTCCTTTCTAGGTTGATGTCCAGTTTTTTTACCTGCTCTGATTCGGATGGTTTCATGTATCCGTTGTTGTTTAACTTGATCTAATTCAATCTTCATTTTCTCATTCTCTGCTCTCAGATTTGCAAATTCACTTTTTTCTAGGATGACCATATTTTTCCTGATAGAATCCAAATGAGCCATTAACTGTTGAACGGTTGACCATCTCCTTATAGATAGTATCCAAGCTGACATTAGATGAAGTGGTTAATGCTGATACAATTGTTTCCGCTTGTGCTCTGTCAAATCCATGAGTTTCTAAATCCCGAACCAATGCATGGGTATCAAAAGTTAATTTCCTTTGTTCTAAAGGAGTTATGTCCACTGGCCTTCTATCATATCCTTCCTTGCTTGTAGTGGTCAAGAAATCTCCCCAGGGAAGCGGGGTCCTGGAAAACGCTTCCTGGCATGAGGTACAGTCCAACAGCAGGCTCTCTGGGGAAAGCCAGCGTCTACTCGAGGTGGGTTCAGTGAGGACGGGGATCCATCTCCGAAGATCTTTTACTTATTCTAAGTAGCTCTAGAAAATTGGTAAAATAAGATTTCTGTCTACACTGACAGCAAACAGAGCTTAAACTTACACACTGAATAACCAGGTTAAGGACACACAGAAAACAAATCAGACTGAAAATTAAGTTCCTTGTCCCTCTACATAACTGTTCTTTCCATGGACACTGGCAGCATCTCAGGACCTTACACCTGTCCAGCTAGAAATATTGCTTGGCTAATAGATAAAAACATGTTTGACTGGGCATCGATTTTACTGTTTTAATATTACCTTATTGCATTTCTTCAGAAATGTTAATAATAATATCTTCTAAGTAAGAAGTATGAGTTTGTGAGACTCTTTCAAAGATAAAAGGCACTCCCTTAAAATAAGCAAGTTTCCATATCCCGGAGACTATTGTATTCTTGGCTTTACAGTTGATTCACAGCCCGGTGAGGTGGCGTAGTCCTGTAATCCCAGCACTCTGGGAGGCTGAGGCAGGAGGATAGCCAATTCGAGCCGAGCCTGGGAAACTTAGTGACTTAGCCCTGTCTCAAAGTAAAGAACTGGGGCCGTTGTTCAGTATACAAAAAAAAGAGTTCGGTTGGGCCGGGGATTTAGCTCAGTGGTTTCGCCGCCTGCTACGCAAGCGCAAGGACCTGAGTTCGATCCCCGGTACCAAAAAAAAAAAGAGTTTAGTTGTAACAAAACCTTGCAATTTTCCAGGCTCAAACAATAGTCTGAGTTTGAGTTGTGGAACCCAGACCTGAGTTCCACAGTGACAAAGACGCTGACTGGGAATTCTGTGACAGCAGAACCCTGAGTCACACTTCCTAAAAAATTACTCTGTGGAAAGGTAAAAGATTTATCTTACACAACAGGAAAGAAGCTACACACGTCCGGTTACCAACACAGGTGCTGAGCCTATGAGAGTGAGGGCCGACTCCACCCCAGGCCCAGGACCCCGGAGGGCGGGGCTTACTCCATCATGGAGGGCGGGATGGTGCAGCAGTCCTGGATGGCAGTCAGCGGCGACGTCAGGTGTGCCGTGTAGGACGCTTCCACGACTTGCTTGTTGCGACTGACCACGTCCAAGTACCGGTTGAACTTCTCACGGATCTTTTTGGCCAGCTGTGGGACAACAAGTGAGCAAAATCAATGTCAAGCGCAACACAATCACCCATTATACTTTTCCTAGTACACTAATTAATTTGTGCCACTGGGCCGGGGATGTGGCACAGCACCTGCCTGGCAAGCGGAAGGTTCTGAGTTCAATCCCAGGTACCAGAAAAAAAAAAAAAGAACAATTTGGGCCAGGGATGTAGCTCAGTGGCGCTGCACCTGCCTCGCAAGCACAAGGTCCTTAGTTTGATCCCCGGTACAAAAAAAAAGAGAACAATTTGTGCCACAAGCTGTATATATAAAAGTATAAAGTGCTTAAAGTAAATCCAAAGCACATCCAAGTCTTTTTCCACGATGGGCGTGAAGACTAAAAATGCCCAATGTAGCTGGGCATGGCACTGCACACATGTAATCCCAGCACTCTAGGAGGCTGAGACAGGAGGATCGAAAGTTTGAGCCTAGCTTGGGGAACTTAAGAGAATTAGCCGGACCCTGTTTACAAAAAGAGACCCTGATTAAAAAGGGGGAAGCTGAGGATGTACTGCAATGTGAAGGCCTTGAGTTCCACCCCAGTACAATTTAAAACAAAACAAAAATCCCCAATGCCCAGTAATTAGATAGCAATAAAATAGTATCTTCTGGTTTCTAACAGATAAGGGTGCATTATGAATTTCTCACACATCCTAAATTCAAATGGAAGGACACTTTTCCATTAAAGTCCCTGCTGGAAAAAGAAAGACAGACACTACCACTATCATTAACCATCAGCATAACAGCACACATTCCAAGTGACAGAGCCGTAATGCCGGGAAGGAAAACAAGAGGACGCGCATTTCTGTATTGTCTTCTGGACTCAAACAGATGTTCAGGGTGGGACGGGGGGCTGCACGCAAGGGGAGGACTTTCAGTGCCTGATGCCACACGGCTCAAGGGTGGGGACACCCCGTTCACAGCCCTCCAGTGGGAGCCAAACGGGGGCTGACAGTGCAGCCAGCCACAGGCAGCAGGTGTGCAGTTAGAGACACAGCACCCATGGGCGAAATAAAAGCCTTTCCTAACTGCTGAGAATGGAGCACAGTGCCGGAGCACAGTGCCGTTCTTGTGGGAGGAATGGGTGGAAACTGGTAAGCACATTGCTTCCCTCTAAGTTGCCCGCCAAATACCACAGCTTAATTACAGATCTCCAAGGAAAACACTGCTGTTTTCCTTCCCCTGAAACAAAATGTTACCCAAATGAAATGACTGATAGAATTACAGCTAATTGGGCTTGGGGAGCTATTCATTATCAGCACATGAGAGAACTAATCATGTCCGCTGGGCCACGAGGCTCACACAATCTCATTGCTTCCAGGATAAGAATGGCGAGTCGGAGCAGAAGCCCTTCATTTGTTATTTGCAAGCCAATTTTTAAATCTTATGTGTCTTCCAGGGAAATTCCATGGGCTTTTGGAGTCTTAATCAAAGAACTGATGTTCTCGGACTTCCTAAAAATTGTACAAATTATGAAGTTTAGAAAATTCCAGATGTCGCAGAACAATATGCATACAGAGTTTAACCTGATCATGGGCTCTGGGGTCCAGCTTGTCATTCCAAGGGCAGAGCTGTGTGTCCAGAAGATTAACGGGTCTACTTCCATTCCAGTCCTAGAGTGGAGATCTTACTGATACACAGAAATATGTCACTGCAGCACTGAGTACAAACAGGTGAACTGGTCACATCTTATTTCAGATCACTAGAGATTTCGTCTGCCAAAAGACATTGGCCAACGCTGGGAGGTGATCTTATTTGTTACAACTTGGTGGAAACTGGTACCAAGTAGACAGGGAGAGGGCTGAGATGTCCCTGAACATTTGATACCACAGGGGCAGCTCCTGAGAATCAAGTGTTTGGTCCAAAAAGGTCAATCATGCCACAGTTGAGAAACCCTGACTTGGACAAAAATCAAAGACAATTACCCCAATTTGTAATTCAGCCAATAGGTCCCAAACCATTCTATCTGAATTCTCTACCCATTCAAAATGGTATTTTAACACGGAAAAAAAAGTTGAACAAATTTCAAATTTACAAACTTCTTTCTTGTTTTTTGTCGTTCCTTCCCCAAAGTAATATAAAAGAAGCTATGTGGGGCCAGGGATTTAGCTCAGTGGTTCCGGTGCCTGCCTCGCAAGCGGAAGGCCCCAAATTCGATCCCTGGTACAAAAAAAAAAAAAAAAGCTATGTGGATCCCTACAGTTCTTAAAAATGTAGTCCGGGCTGGGTGTGTTGGCACACACCTATAATCTCAGGACTCTGGGAGGCTGAGGCCGGAGGGTGACAGTTTAGGCCTATCCTGGAAAACACAAGTGACTTAGAAAGACCTTGACTCAAAAATAAAAAAGGCTGGAGATGTGGCTTACTTCAAAGGCCCTTGGGTTCAATTCCCAGTACTTCAATAAACAAAGAAACAAAATTAAATACAATGTAGTCCAAATACTGAGCTAGGACTACTCCCTCATTACCAGAAAAGGTGCGGCTGGTGTTTGCAACAGCAGCTCGCTCAGGGTCGCATTCCTAGATTCTCCCAGTCAGTGGGCAGTGGAGCGTGGGAAGCAGGCACAGCCGGAAAGTCTGAGGTACATTCTCCCAGGGTCCTACACCCCCACTTACTACCCTTTAATGCTGCTGCCGTGTTCTGGTTTAGATCTGCATGCCCCCCAAGGCCTCATGCCCTCTCAGGTGGGGCTTCCGCAAGGTGAGTGGGTGGGGCAGGCAGGCAGGGACTCAGTCAGGAGGCGAGGCCTGGTCTGGAGAAGCGGTCACTGGGGCGTGGCCTGGAAGGTTCATCTGCCTCCCCGGCTCCTCCCTTCTCTCTCTGCTTCCGGTACATCATGCCTGAGCTGCTTTCCTCTGCCAGGCCCTTCCACCAGACCGTACTGCTTCGGTGCCAGGCAACCACGGATTAAACCCTCTACAAACTGAGCCACAGTAAAAGTCTCCTTTAAGTTGTGGTGTCCGGTATTGTGTCCAGAGCTGAGAAGGTGACTAAGACAGTGCAACTGGCATCTGGATAGGATTTTCCTTTGCCTCCGGATCTTTGGCATCTACTACACTGCTGGGGATTCTTAGTATACAGAAAATAATCATTAGTAACCATAAAAAAGAATTCGCTCCTGAGCGTCATCAACCTTGTCTTTTGGTCTTATGGTCAACAGCCTCTCTAAAGTACAAGATATTTACTTATTTACCCACAGTACCAGGGGCCAAATCCAGGGCCTTGCACATGTGAGGCAAGCGCTCTACCACTGAGCTGCACCCTCAGCCTGGAGTATTTATTTTAAAAGTAACCCGTAATACATTCTTCTGGGAACTCCAGCAGGAAGCAAATTTTGTCTGTTCTTTTTAGGTTCTGGGTTCCGGTAAAAATAAATCTCACTGATTTTCACCCGGAAGTGTAAATAGGCTGACCCATCACTAGAAAATAAATGCAGTGGAACAGAACAAAGATTGGGATTTCCAAATTATATCTTCACCAATTCAGGTTAAAATAAACAAGAAACTTGGAATCATTTTTGTCTTTCACCAACTCACATAGTCTTAATGTTTAACTCCACTTGAGAAGTATCCCAGGGTTTCCTCCATGCATCTGGTGAATTCTAACACTGAAAGGTCAGATGTTGTAATCTGATATTCTCTCTCTCTCTCTTTTCCTTCCTTCCTTCTTTTTTTGAGACAGGGTCTCTCTGTGTAGCCCAGGCTGGACTTGAACTCACAGTGATCCTCCTGCCTCAGCCTCCCAAGTGCTGGGATCAGAAGCCTGCACCAATGGCCACCTCCACTTCTACTGTTTGCGTATACGCCATGGGCGAAGAGTGATTCTTACATCTATAAATGTTTATTTTAAAAGAAGAATATTTTACAATACTGAATAATTATGTGAAATTCAAATTTCAGTTTTCACAAATAAAGACTGGGATGCAGTCCTGCGGTCACATGTTGACACGACTGCTTCAACTCTTCCAAGGCAGAGAGGCAAGCAGCTGCAATGGAGGCGACCTGACCTGCTTTGCTGTAGGTGGAAGCTGTCATCTGGGGCTCTGCAGTGTCCCAAGGTGGGGACACAATTCCAGGTGGCAGGAATATAGAAACTGCAGCAGAGGTTTTAACTGACCTCCCAGTGGGATGCAGGGTCTGCATTTCCCTTTCCTCCACTGCTTGAATCTGAGCAGACTTTAGCTGGCTTGTGGCACCAGGAGGCTGTGCAGCCCCAGGAGGATGTGCAGTAAATGGGTGTGCGGCCAGCAGAATGTGCGGTGCCAGAAGGCTGTGCCGCACCAGGGGGGTGTGCAGCAAACAGGAGGCTGAGCGGCAGACAGGAGGGTATGTGGAAAGCTGCAGAACTTCCAGGTCTGGGTCATAAAAAGCCACGAGGCACCACCTGTCTCTTTTTGGAATATTTGCTGGCCCTCACAGGAGCTCCCAGCTCCCCTGCTGTAAGACCCAAGACCTGTGGAGAGGTCAAAAGCTGCACTTGCACACCTGGATGATCACATCTCCAGGCCGCCCAAGCCCTGGGCAAGAGCCACAAGACCCCGGGGAACTTCAGTCCCTGCTGTCTCCCCCGGCTAGGCCAGCCTTGCCAGGCTGCTCCACACCCTGGCCCCAGAACCCACGACACTGACTGTTCACGCTAAGATTGAGGTGGTTGGTTCTGCAGCCACAGAGCACTGGGACCCCCGAGGACAGGCTTCACTTCCATTTTAGGGTGAGCTCACTGAAGCCAAGCTAAATCAAGGTGCTCAACTACAGGCACCGCATCTAAATCACCAATGTGATCTCGACTGTACCCTGTGGACAACAAGCCTCACGCAGGAGAGATTTCAGGGTTCTTCAGAAAATCACAACAGCTACCACGTAAGGTACAGCCGGCGGCCAAGGACCCTACTGTGTAGGCCTTCTCATGTCATGTCACTGAGGCACAGGGATGAGCCCAAAACCACACATGGGTAGGAGCCACCAACCTACTCAGACTG